AGAAACTGCAAACCCGTAAATCGAAACCCAGTACAACAACAACAAATCGTGACCTCGAGCCCAGCGCATCCCTCTTCCTTGTCCGTTCGTTCAAAGAGCCGTTGAAGAATCCAGGTGTCTCAATCTCATATGTTTTCCGTCCTTCCTCCAAGATCGGACGACCATCCTTTACAAGCCGTTGAGAGTAGGTACAATTCTTGGCTGGCAACCTTATCTCTTAAGAAGAATCCAAATTTCGAATTTCCCGATTACCCTCCCCCCAAAAAAAACCTGCCCTTTCACCCTATAAATAGCCTCCTCCCTTTTCATTGAAAGGGTGTAGAAATTGATAGAGAGAAAATTATACATTGGAGGAAGAAGTGGGAAAAAAGACAGAAACAAGAACAACTCGTTAAAGGATTTAGGAACGGGAGTAGATACCGAAATACATTCGAGCTTTTGCTTCGTCCTTTTGATCGTTCATCAAAACTCTCGGAAGTTCTTCTGTGGTAGTGGAGTCGCTTCAAAGTCGGTCTTAGTCTCGCTTCTCCAAAGAAAGTAACTTCCTCTCTTCTCCTATAGTTAATTTTACATTCAATGAATTAGTTGTGTATTTGTTATGTTTGACTTCGGGTTAATCTGGCTATATGTGAAATAGGGCACAAATGGCAATGAACAGTTTTCGTTTTGAATTTCTAATCACTGATGCATTTTCTTATATGATCTACTCTAATATGATCGGTATTTTCTTAAACCACTCTTACAGTTAACTCAAACATCACAAAAACGCAACGACACATCTGAGAAGGCATTGAGGTATTATGGCACCTAAATTTAAAAAGAACACCCTGTGTTCATTTGAAATGAACTCAAAATTGGAAACCCACAACCTATAAAGAGGTTCTAGGTCTACATGATTTCAAACAGCTGAAAAATTAAATGAAATTTTAAAAAATCTGAAAAGGAGAAATAGAAGTTGAGTGAGATAGATGTAGCTGAAAAAAGTAGAGGAAAAAGATGACAGGAAAAAGACTTGAAGAGAATTGAAAAAGCAGTATGTACTTTCATGAACAACATACAAAACACCTTTGTTGGTAGATCACTAATTTACTAAATCTAAATAGAGGAAGATGTACCAATTACGATAATTATAAATGAAATTTTAATTTCCCGAGAATGAAAATGAGCATAATTAGGCTAAAGCTTGAGAAAACTTAACTCGAGGATAAAAATGCAAACTTCAGGTAAAGTTGAGAGAAATAGAAAACATCAATACCACATATGAAGTCATATTTCATCAAATTCATCACAAATCAAAAGCCAAGGATCCTTTCACTTCATATAAGATTTAAATGATAAATTGTTCGTCAGTTTGCTATTAGAACCTGTCTATCACATTCATCCTATATAAGGCTAATTAAATTAGTAGGCTACCATTTTAAACTTCCAATGTCGAGAAAAACTTTATATACATAGTGTAGCACAAAATACATATGTACTTGACAGAGTTGAAGAGAAGATTGATCTTGAGTTTCAATTATCCTCAAAACAAAACAGCTACAAGAAAAGAAAAGAAATTATCACAAGTACGGAGCCCCAATTGATTGGATACACAAGTTATTCTTAAGTTCAAATATCGATTCAACACTGAAAAGAAGAAAGTGAAAACTTAAAGAACAACAATCCTTCGAGATTGAATCTTCATAGCAATGGCTGATGAGTCTATGAATAGCTAATAATGTCTTAAATTGAAATAACTTAGGAATAAACAGTAATCATGAACAAAGAGAGTTCACAAAATAGTTATTTTTCCTCTTCGTAGTAGAGACTACGAATTACCAAGATTTCCAGCAACCTCATAGAAGATATAGAAACCAATCAATGTGGAGTTATGAGTACAACTTGAAATAATATTCTTAGCTTATCATTATCTTGAACGTGTGGGTTTTTATGATTCAAACAAACATGACATTTCATGAACTTGTGGATTCTCATGAGTCAAACAAACAATATTGCACCTTTTCTTGTATTGAATATAAGGTGATTGAAGTAGAAATTTTAAGCCTAAGAATTTAACTTTGTTTTGTCAAAAGGTTCTCGATTACAAGAAACGATAGTTAAGCAAAGATAGATTAAGATAGACATTTCGAAGAGAGATTCGATATTGAAAGAGTGAAGGAGAAAGATCCTTAACCACCAGTAAAAACAACGAATAAAAACACCAGAGCAATTAAAATGAAAGACTTAGAAACTTACCAGAAGCAGATTTGAAGCAGTCAAAGAAAAAAAGATGGGAAAGAGTTTAAAGCAGATTCGAAGTGAGAGCTCTGCTTGTTGTTATTCAACTTTTGAGCACACTTGAACACTCGGTAAAATCACCACAAAAACCACCATAGATGCAATGTATATCAAAGTTATTTACATATTTATTTCTATTTTCAAACATGCATAGGAAACTTACATACATTTTATGATACGCAACCTAAGAATCCAAAGAATAATGGAAAAAACTTCCATTATAGGTTCTTTTTAAGAGTTGGACACATTACCAAAAAATTGGGGTAGAAGGGGAACTAAAACTTACTGTAACCAAATATTAGAGCAACATCAAAGAAACAGTGATAGAACAACTCTAGAGCATACGGTAGATTCTACCGATGAACAATGAAAGAAAGCATAAAGTGGATAATACACATGTGAAAAGTTTGTTTACAAATTTACCCCAAAGTTAACATTAGAATTACCTATTTACCCTTGTTCGTCCTTCCCTACTCCCACTTCTAAATAAGAGTAATGTATAAGATTTTTTTAATTTTGTTTAACATGTTTTGCTAAGACTATGATCCGTTAAGTGTATCCTTGATTTATTTTGCCTCTTTTCTAATCCTTATTTTTATTTTTCATGTGACACCAATTCGAGTTCACTTTGGACTCATCCCTTGCATATTGTCGGATTGTTTCGAGTCAACCCTATTCTTGTTCAAATGGAGAAGAAGCGAATTGGGTCTAAGGAAGCTGAATTGTAGGGATTGGAAGCAAATATACCGATTTTGGAAGTTGAAATGTATCAGTATACATTGGAAAAACATGCATAACTATACAAGAACGAAAAATGGGTCAAAACCCAAGACGATCAGCAACTGAAGGTCCAAAGTTGGTCCAGGCAAACAGAACCTGACCTTTGGGCCCAAAACAGTCCTCTTTGGACATTTTTTTGCTTTAAATATTGAATTGTTATTTTGTTTGAATGCTTTAATTCTAACTCTTTGAATATTTAGGTTAACTTAATCAAACCCCCCTAAAGATGAACCATTTAGTTATGAAGAGTCATTTTATTTGAATGATTTCATTTAATTAACTTTCTCTACGCAGTCATTTTGACAAAGGTTATCTTTTTTTTTTAAAAAATAAAATTATTTCAAGTATCTTAAGCTATTTTCTTTCGAAGGGTTTACAAGTCTTGATAACTTTTAAGTACTTTTCACAAAGAACTGGTCAAAAAATATTTTAGCCAAGTCGTAGGAGAACTGCGTGTTAACGGACAATTCAAATGCTTAAAAACCTTTTTTAAGTATAAATGAGAACATGTACCCTTTTTCTCTAAAATTTTAAAAACTTAATCTATTAGAGTCTTTTTCTAAGTATATTTCGAACATTTCAAAGAGTAATTTTTCTAAAGATAGAAAAATTACGACACAATAGTTGATGTTCTTAGTTTAGACTTATATTGTTTTAGTTATTATTAAAATTTCATTAATTTAATATGTCAACTAGAAAATATGATTTTGATCTTACAAAAAGAGAAAATGAAAAAAATTGTAAAATTAAAAATCTCAAAAAAGAGCACTTGATTGATTTTTAACAAATAATAAGTCTTGAATTGAAAAATATGGGGGATGTTCTTCAAATGAATAAGTCACTAGTAGAGTTGGTGAAAAATAACATCCAAGAAGAAAATCTAAAAGTAGTGGTGAAAAATGTCGCATTATTAAAATCAGCCTGGGATCTGGTGAGGCAGAAGCAGGAAAAGAGGGAGGAGAATAGAAGCATTTGAGTAAAAGGGATACCTTTCAAAATGAATTTCTTCCTATGGAAGGTCTGGAAGAGAAGGATAGCCACGGATGACAATTTGAAGAGAATGAAGATCAATATTGTGTCCAGATGCTGGTGTTGTGAGAAAAAGGCAGAAGAAACCATGACACATTTATTTCTAACAACACCTATAGCTATGGAGGCAATTTGCTATTTGTGCAGAAATTGACATAGAAGAAATGATTCTGAAACACCTCATAAATACTTGGTGGAGCATGCAAACAACCATTCCAACAATCATAATGTGGACTCTATGGAAGAGGAGGAATGTGATTAAACATGGAGGAAAGGTGACTTTCAGTCACATGATATACCAAGTGCAGGAAATGATTAGGAAACTTGTCAAAACTTTGTACCCCTTGGATTAAAATAGGCAATGAAAGTTGGCCTCACATTGCTACAATTTTGAAGGAGTACAAACCAAGATTACATTATTATAGTGTTACTTGGAATTTTACCGACAGAGGCAAGATATAATGCAACATTGATGGTGCGTGTAGGGGTAATCCGGGAAAGAGCTCGTTGGCTTTCTGTGCAAGGGATGAGAGGGGGGACCTGATTTATGCAGCTGCTAGAGGTAGGAGTGACCTCCAATACAGAAGCAGAATCATTGGCAATTAAGGGAGCTTTGGAATTCTGTCAGTCTTATAGTCTAAAAGAAATGACGATCGAAACAGATTCTTTAACACTCAAGAAAATGATTAAAAGGCAATGGAAGGTCCCATGGGAACTAATAGAGCAAATAGAAGATATAAGGGTCAAACTCCATTCAATGCAAGGACAAGTAATTCACACATTCAGGGAAGGTAACACAGTTGCAGATGCTTTGGCGAATGAAGCCATAGACTCAAAAGAAAAGAAGGAGTATCACAACTTTAACGAGTTACCAACAAACATAAGGAAATGTATAAACATTGACAAAGCACAAATTCCTAACCTCAGAATTAGGACGAGGAAAATAAATATACAATGATACAGATCACAAATAACATGGGAAGAGGGAAGAGCAGGCACGCAACAGTGATAAACATAAAACAAGTCTCATATTACACAAGCTCAAATTTAATAGCACAAGCATTATTGCCAAAGAGAGGACAACGAAAATATGTAACTTAGCTAGTGGTCCTAGCTACCAGCAAGTTACACCAAAAAGAAGATGGAGCCTCCTAACACAACAGCCCGAACCAAACGTCAACATTGAAGAACACGAAGATCTACATCGGCACGGTAGACGGTTGGTTACAGTGATAAATAGAAGGGAAGGGAAGGAAAATAGAGGGGAGGGTGAACTTACGAAGATGGATCTTCAACTCATCAAGGATGAACTCAGCCCACCTGAAGTCAACGCAAGTTAGATCGGAGGAGATCAGGATGAAGGAAAGAAAGAGTAGAAACTTACCATGGAAAGATGGCGCCCACAACCATGGATGGAGCTGGAAATTCCAAGCGGAGCTTCAGCTTCTCGTATGATAGCGAGCTTGAGAAGAGTCTGGAACACTTCTTTGAACAATGTCTAGATTAGGAAACCTTGATTCATTTGATATGTTTTTGGAAGGACCATTTGGGCCTAAACTGTAAGAAACTAGTTTCCTCTGTTTTTTAGGTAATAAAATAGGTCCAGCTGTGGACCAAAAATGGTTTTAAAAAATAAAATAAAAAATGTCGCATTATTCCCGACAATCAAGAACTCATAAATATTTTATTTAATATTTTTTCTTTTCATTGTTGATTGATTATGGAATTTTTAAAACTATAACTACACATTTGTGATATTTCCCACCGTTCTTTAAATAGTATCCGTTTAAATTTATTTACTAATCTAAATATGATCAACCATGTTCAATGTGATAGCTCGTTTTCTGTAGATGTCAATTAATTTTAAAAATACTCATTTATGTTGACAAAAATTTCGATAACTACAAAATTAAATTTAAAACTTACAATAGTTATCATGCATATTAAAAATAGTTATTTTAAAGTAATTGTCCATTCTAAATATCAGAAGAGAAGTAATTATTTTGATTTTTCCAAAACTTTAAAGATCACTATGTATTCGATAGAAATAACTTCTTATGGTTTTTCTACCTCACTATTACATCATTCACACTTTTAATTTTTTTGATGACAAGGGAAACCCGCAGCCGCTACCCTACCCTTTGGGTGCGCATAGGGTAAAACCCCCGCTCCTATGCAATAGCTCGCAAACCACATAGGAGAGGTAACCCGCACTAGGCAAGCCTGGTGCGACGAGCTCGACCCAGAAGGCAAACCCCTTGCTTTCGCTGGCAAGGGGTTTCGAACTTGAGACCTCCAACATGGAAGTCCCAAGCCCAAACCACTGGGCCACCCCGAAGGGTCACACTTTTAATTTTCTCACACATTATTTTATAAATCCTATCTATTATGACTAAGAGTTGTTTGACAATATCGCTAAAAATTGTTTATTTTTAAGAATACTGTTTTAAAATAGCTTTTCAAAAGAGTACTTTTGAAAAAAAAACAATTTGTATTTGGTCAATTCATTTGAAAAGTGTTTTGGATAAACAAAGTGTTTGACTAATTTTAAAAAAAAATACTTTTGAGAGTCAAATTACTAAAAATGATAAATATCAATGCACTTTTAATATTAAGATAACATATTCAAATTTTCAATTAATATTATATATAGATGAATAAAATATAAATTAAATATTGATATAATATTAACATGATGATTTTAAATATAATTAAAAATATCAAGCAAAGTAAATTTAAAAATCATTTCACAAATTAAATTACTACTATTATATTTGTATTCAATAAAATATGAACAATAGACACTGTTATAAATCAACTTAAAGATGAAAGAATAAAATCGACCCACTAAATTTATTGTGTGTCCTTAATAACACTATTGTTATTTAGGGTTTGTTTCTTCTGTTTTTATTGTTTTATTGTGAGTATTTGGATTTAGTTTGGGACCATTGTTTGGATTAATGTGGAGTAATTTGTTTTGAATATTGTTGTGTGTATTATATATGAGATTATATTAAGTTTGTTATTGTTTTAAAATGTTATTGTGTGCCAGTCTATTTTATTGCTTGTCTAATGTAATTATTTGAAATAATTTTCAGTTTGTTAACCATTTGGTATTTGAGACTTATTGATTTAGAGTTGCATTTTACATCTCCATTGAAGAAGAAACATTTTTTATTTGGGATTTTTCCATTTTAAGATTTAAATACAAAATATCGTAATCAAAATGAGAGAGATACTATTATGATAAATTGATAATTAATCAAAACACTTAACAAATCTGTCAAAAGAAGGAGTACAATAAGGATTTTTTGCGTCATTTACTAATGAAACAAAAAATACAATGTATATGTAAACCTTAAACATGCATTTTACTCTCAGTAACGAAGGATATTGAGTATTTGCAAAATTTATTCAATACATTATAAAACCATCCTCTCAAAATTTAATAGTATATTTTGTTTTTAATATTGATTAATAGTTATTTATATGTAATTGATTGAAAAATATCAAAGTGTTATATTCTAGAATTAAAAATATATAAATAGGCAAATTTAAAAATTAATAAAAAGTTTAGTACATTAATTACTCCATCCGTCCACTTTTATTTGTCATGTTGTGGTTCGAAAGTCAATATGACTAATTTTCAAAGTTAAATTAGATTACATGAATTCGATATTTTAAATAAAAAATTTAGATATTCAAAAATTATAAGAAAAATACTATAAATTGTAATATGACTATTTTTCAAAATTAATTTAGATTACATGAATTCGATATTTTAAATAAAAAATTTAGATATTCAAAAATTATAAGAAAAATACTATAAATTGTAATATGACTATTTTTCAAAATTAATTTAGATTACATGAATTCGATATTTTAAATAAAAAATTTACATATTCAAAAATTATAAAAAAATACTATAAATTATAATTTTTTATATATCGATACGATGAAAAAATATTTACTTACTTATTAAGGTCGTCACTTGTCGCAAGTTAAGAAGATGTGTGTCCATTTGTATCAAGAGAGATTAAATAGCATCAATCGCCTCACTCATCTCCGACTCCACCGGCGCCTCGAACTCCACAATTCGGTGACAATTTTCTCTATCTATCTTCTCCGGCGAAGTTATCCGGTAAAATATATATTTTTTCCTTCTCTGCCTCTTTCGTGCTTTCTTTCTCCCACCAGATTGTAAATCCTATGTGTATTTCCAACTGAATAACTTCAGATTCTTAACTTGCGATGGTCTATTGGAAACTATGTGTGTATTAGAGATTAGTCAGTGGATCTTGTTGTAAATTTAGCACAAGAATCTGCATGTTAACATCTTATTAGCTAATTTGGTTGTGAAATCACTAAACTGAAATAATCCTGTTTGGTTGACTTTAAATATCAGGTGTGTTTGTTCTGTTTCCCGACTCGTGAAGTTAGGGTAATTTTCTATTTATCAGAAAAGCTAAACTTATTTTGTGTGTACGCTAAGAGTGAGAAATGGACTCTTCTTCCTTTGGGGATTGAGCCATTTTTGGGTCTTTTGAAATTTGATAGGAGCTTCTCATAAATGGAGGTTACAGTATATATAATTATTTCTCTGTAGATTTTGTGCATTTTTTCTAGTAACTAAACAGAAGAGAAACACAACTAATGTTGCTTTGTTTGTCCTGAGTAAGTGTATCTGACATCCTCTTTCCATTGCCAGTAACAAAGTGATTGGAGCAACTGACATTGTCAAGTTTCGAGCCCTTATCCACAAGTTACATCTCATCCACATTAACTCAATTTGTTGCCTTCTCGGAGTCCAGTCTGGCAAAGAGGAAAAATGGCTAAGTCTTCAGGTTCTGGTGCACACCAGCAGATGAGCCTGGACCTTCTTCCATCAGCACTATTGGCCACTGTGATGACGAAGCTAGACATAGCTTCCATTCGTTCCCTGGCATGCACTTGCAAGGCCTTCCATTCATGTGCCTCACACATGCTTTGCTTCATTCCTAGTTTTCATCTCCTCGTAAGTCTATTTCTAATGTTCTTCTACATGACTTATCATCAATTCTTGTTCTCTAAGTTTATTTCAGAGGCGTATCCAAGATTTCGGGATGATGGGTGCACTATTATGAAAATGTGGATCTAATCGGTTTAAGATTTAAGTTGTTATCATTGAAAACAGTTAAAAATTTAAAATCATAGGTCCAAAATCGAAATGCTTAATTAATTAAAACGCCAAAAGTGCTATCAATAGCCACTTAGAGAGGTGTATCCAATTTTAGAAAGAAAAATAAAACAAGATAGATATAAAATTCAAATTTCTAACCTCACTAAGAGGTGCACCCAATCATTGTCACATTACATGATACTTCGAGTGTGGGTTCACACATCTATATTTAACGAAAAATTATAAATATAACACTATTATATATGATTTCAGGAGGGGAGCATGGGTTCACGTGAACCTGGTGACCCCCTCCTGCATACGACTCTGCTAAGTTAGCGTGTTCTTATCAGGATATTGCTCCGCCTGCTGAATATATAAGGCCGTTGCTACCTCCCAATCCTTACCTTCGTAGCTTGAAGGTAGATTGCATGCGACTTGATGATTCATCCCTTGATTGTCTTCTTCAGCCGACTTTACAAGAGCTTTGCCTTCATAACTGCGCTGATTTCAGTGGAAGGCTTCTGTCTCAGGTCGGCCAGTACTGTAAAGACCTCAGGTTATTTCTCTCTAAAGCTTTTCTTATTTTCTCTTTCTAAATCCATGTATGAAACTTATTTTGGTTTCTCTTTATTGTGGAATGAAATGGAGTCTAGTTTAAGCTTGTATAATGAATCATGAAAAAAAAAACAGAAAACTCATTTGATGATTTGTTCAGTTGGTCATTAGCTTGTTTGTTATCTTTAATTTTTCTCCTCAGGTTTCTTTATTTGAGCTCTTTGGCGGAGAAGAGAGGCAGATCAATTGATGTATCTGATCTAGAGGTCTTATTTGGCGGATGCACTCAGCTGGAAGTAAGGCTTCTTGAAAGTGTGGCATAGTAAAGATTTAAGTTATTAGGATAATAAATAGGCTAAGCCATTACCTCACAATACAAAGAAATGAGTTAATCAACATTTTTTTAAAATTGAAAAACATTAGCTAAGATATTGTTTGAACAGCCTATCAAACAAATGAAAAAAATTGAACCCAAGAATAGCATTTAAAGTGGTACTACTGTAACTCTAACTTAGATGGGAAATATCAATGGTGTAACCGTCCTAAAGAAAATATTCCATTTTGCCAAGGTTCTTCCCTTTCACGGTTTCTATCACAGCCTTTATGCCAGGGTGGATTCTGGATGAGTTTCTCTGTTTTAGTTCTCTCACTTCACATTGTTTGTGCTAATAGTAACCAATGGTGCACATACCTTATCCAAACTCATAATAGTAATTTGAGGGTGGGGAATCAGTCCAGCGTTTCACTATTGGAATTTTGAGATTTCTTTTGCTTTTTCTTTCTTTCTTCAGGTTTTAAGAAAGACTGAAGCATTTCAAACTTCCGCCTAACTT